CCCCAAAACCCCAAAACCCCAAAACCCCAAAACCCCTTTTTCTAGAAAATTAGTTGAAATTTTATGGTATAATTTCTATCGAATCTTCAAGGCTTCGAAATAGTCTTGAAGCTTAGTTAGAGAAATTTTTAAATACTGAGAGTCTTCCCTTAGCTTCTTTATGAGCTGGCTTAAGGCCTACAGAGGAGTAAATAGCTTTAGTCAAAGTCATTTCCTTCTCCTCAGATGGCTTGGAAAGATGGATGAATTGGCATCTCTCTCCATAAGAGCAATAAAACTCTTCATGGAACTGTTTGCATATTTTTGTCTTATAGTTAGACGGGAGGTTCTTTCTCTGACTAAGCTCTTCTACTCCATGAGCGAAGGAACACTTAGAGCCAAATTTGCAGTCACCTGCTTGCCAATTCTTGCATAACTCGGTTTTGAATTTGGTCACAAAAGAAGTCTGAGCCTTTTCCGACAACACCATATTGTCATTGTTAGGTGAATGAGGAAACTGGGTAGTCATGCATTTCTTCAAAAATAAATTTGGAGTTGTGGCCATAATATCATTCTCAGAGTCATCAGAATTATTTCCTTCATCTTCAGTGTGAGCCTTAGTATCAGACGAAGCCTTCCTATCATTCTTATTGTTGATCGTCTTTTTGATAAATGCCTTCGATCTTGAGCTTAGCTTGTGCCTAAGCTTAAGTGCTGGAGTATTGCTGCAATCTTTCCTGTCACTAGGGTTAAATACACCAACATCAGGAGAGGATGGGCATTGCATCAAGTTAATCACCGGGCTTTGTGACTGGTTTCTATCGTAAACGTACTTCATTTCCTGCTGTTTGCACAGTGGAGAATATCCTTGATCCATTTCGCAAATATCAGGTGAAGTCGGAAGTTGCATATTACAACCATATGGGCGGACAGGAGTTGGACAATGAACAGTATTCTGGCAATTTGGCATATAACTAGGAAAGTTTTGAATAGATGAATTCATTTTTATTTATTATTTATCATACTATTTCTTCTTCCTTATATTTCATTTCAACCAATCAGGATGCCATTGGGGTTTTGGGGTTTTGGGGTTTTGGGGTTTTGGGG